TATTTTTGACACAATTCCCTGCTAATACAATAGCCACAGACATTAGGGAAGGTCCAGTCATCATTTATTCACCCTCATGTTGTTCCAAACCTATTTAAACCTATTATATTTTGGAATGCAATTTTTCTTTTTTCACTTATCCAATCAGAGAGATTTATTTTACCACTGAAAGTCTATTGAGATAATAAAACAAGATTTAAATGTCTGTCATCATATTTAATTAAGCTATTGCCCTAAAAATACAATATTTTAGGTATACACTCTTTACATGTGTAGTAAGGCTACCAGACTGTCTGCAAAAGGTCTTTACTTTCATTTTCACTTTCACAAGCAAGGGAGAAGATTTTCATGACTCTGAATATGCTGTTTTGAAAGACATATCTGAAATAAAGTAATTTATTTGCTATGAGAAAGTTATATTTATGTTTGCAAGAAGTTGCATATTCAAAGTCACTGGGGAAAGTACTGTAGCAGAAACTGAAATGCATGCAGCCATTTTGACTGCTATGGTTATTCAAGGTAGAAGTACTCAGTTCTTTATTGTTTTGTAATTTAAAAATATATCAATGTTAGAAATCAATATATGCATATTTAGAAAAAGTCAGGGTATTATAGATACTGTATGTGCATTTTATTTCAACAAAGTTATTACTTACTTAAGCCTCCTTTCCACTGCACACAACAAACGACAAGCGACAGACCGGAAGTCATTCATTTCCATTGGAGAGTAGTCCAGGAGCTGCGTGAAGTTCTGATCTTCTCCGTATGCAGAAATTTCGGATCCGAATTGAGCTGCGTATCCGTTGAAATATTTGAACTCCTGTGACTAGACCGTTTGCAACCGGTGTGATGTATTCCAGTGTTGTAAGCAGGTCCATGTGCGAGATGAGAAATAGTAATTTTTTTTTGGTTATTTTTTGAATCAGTCTATATTATAAAATCTATTCATAAATGTAAGTAATTAAGGAATAAAAATAAATATTTTTTATGTTGTCTCCACATTCCCTCAATATTTTTAGTGGTCTATAAGTTTCTAGTATTCATTTATTCAACCATGGTGAACCCACAGAGAATAAAGGCTCTTGCTTTTGCACTCTTTTATTTCCGACACTGCGAGAACAGCTTCTCTCCCATGGTGCACGTCAGAACTGAAAATTCTGTGCGACTGCCACAAGGGGATGTATTTCGACAGTTGTGTCCAAATGTCGTGTGCAGTAGAAAGGTGGCTTTACTCTTAGGTCCGTTTATATCAAAGTTGATATTTAACCCCAACATGTTGGTGTTTTGCTATGTTTAAACAGTTTTCAATCTGGTTTCTGAGCACATCATTGTACAGAGAGTGGCCTAGATAATCACCAATAGGCCTATTCACCTAGATGCACATTAAGGCAAAGTAACAGTGCTGCATTTGACATTGTCAATAACAGCATACTTGTTGATAGGTTGGAAAACTGGGTTGGGCTTTTTGGGATTGTCCTTAAATAGTTCAGATCTTAGCTTGAAGGGAAACGTTACTATGTTAGGTGACCATGGGTTAAGGTGGACACCAATGACATGTAGAGTCCAACAAGGTTCAATTGTGGCACCTCTCCTGTTTAACCTTTATATGCTCCCACTGAGCCAAATAATGAGAAAGAACCAAATCTCTTACCACAGCTATGCTGATGACACTCAAATCTACTTACCCTTACTGCATAATGACTGCAGCCCTATTGACACCCTCTGCCAGTGCATTGATGAAATTTACAGTTGGATGTGCCAAAACATTATTTAGTTAAACAAAGAGAAAACTGAAGTCATTGCATTTGGGAACAGAGATAAGGTTCTCAAGGTGCATGCGTACCTTGGTACAAAGGGTCAAAAAAAAAAAGTCAAGAATCTTAGTGTAATTCTGGAGTGAGATCTAAGTTTCAGTTGCCATGTCAAAGCGGTAAGTAAATCAGCATACTGGCATCTCATAAACATTGCAAGAATTAGATGTTTTGTTACCATTGACGACATAGAGAAACTTGTTCATGGCTTTATCAGCAGCAGGGTGGATTACTGTAATAAACTCATCACTGGACTTCCAAAAAACAGTCAAACAGTTGCCGTTCATCCAGAATGCTGCTGCCAGGATTCTAACCAGAACCATAAAATCAGAGCACATCACACCTGTCCTCAGGTCTTTACTCTGTAGCGTTCAGAATAGATTTTAAAGTATTATTACTTGTCTATGAATCACTAAATGGTCTAGGACCTCAATACATCACAGATATGCTCGCTAAATACAAACCTAACAGATCACTCAGATCATTAGGACCAAGTAAATTAGAAATTCCAAGAATTTAAGGTGAATAAACTTTCAGCTACTACACCCCCTACTGCTGGAATCAGATTCCAGAAATGATCAGATGTGCTTCAACATTAGGCAAATTCAAATGAAGACTTAAAACACATCTGTTTAGCTGTGCCTTTACTGAATGAGCACTGTGCTATGTCCAACCGATCACACTATTGTGTCTTTCTTTTCTTTTTATTCCTGTTTTAACACATTTTATTTAGTTTTTTCCTTTGCTTGAGGCTTATCTGTGCTGATTGGTCCTATGACTAAGTCAGTTGTGATTGGTCGACTGCGTTCAGTGCGAGACAGAGAGAAATGCCCAAGAAGTAGTCAGCACAGGGTATATGTGTGAGCCCAATGCAGGAATGCAGTAAGGCAATGCAGTTAAACACCAGCATATTACTTTATTCTTAACCACAACCACAAGTAATAACCACAACAGACAAAACTCTTTTGAAAATTTGCCATGCCAAACAGCAGGAAATCGTGAGCAAAAAACGCATTTAAATCGTTGAAGGATGAAGCACACGTCACATTTTTAACATAGTTTTGGACATGATATGTGAAATGGCCCGTACAAATTTAACCTGAGAGATACATTACAAGCACTGATCTAAAACAGATACTTGATTACAAGAAGTGCAGAGCAATTTATACAAGTTACAACACACAATTAAAAACAAATTTTGAAAACTGCAAAAAACGAGGCAACCATTTTAATCACAGTTCATGTTATGTAGGAAGGAGAAACACTTACAGGATCTGGAGGAAGAAAAAACTGCTCCATACAAACTGTGTAACAGTTACTGACGAAGTCCCATACATTGCAAGTCTTTGCTGATTCTGCTTTTAATATTAAGCGAACGGCGAGTCCCGCGCTGCAGGGTAGGATATTGTATCAATCATCAGAAAAATGACAGGAACAAAAACAGCACATGGTTGGCTATACTGTGGTGTTGCAGACAGCCGCATGTCTGGCGATTTCTCTGTGATAGTAATCTTCACATCATGATCAATCCCATGATCCCTCGATCTCTGCTAGTGTCTGAAGAGAAAGGCGTGTTCACGTTTTACCGGATCTGGTAGTTCATATTTGGTATAGTTTTGTGTCAACGTTGATAAAAACAGGCAAAAGATCCAGACGAATGAGGAATCATTTAAATGACTCTGAGTTGAATTTTTTAATAAAGAGTCTATATTTTTAAACAAGGTGCATTTTCATATTTAACCTTCAGGTAGATCTTTTCATTCACTTAGAGCTGTGTTGTCACTGCATTGGAGGTTATTTTCAAGAACCCATAATAGGGGCTCTTTAAAACCACACTGTGTTCGTCTGACAAAAAGTAATATACTGTACAAAAGCAAGGCTATTATCCTATATTTTTATTTTTGGGTGCACTATTCCTTTAATAACTCACTATCAAACCATTGAGCACAGAGCTGCATTCAGCTTTTGCTAAAGTAATGAAACCGTACATCAGTTTAAGTAACGTTACACAATCAACCACCAAGTAACTTCTAAGAAAACATCTCCTGATTTCCTCCATCCTTATCTGATATATAACAGTACTATTAGATACCCTGTTTTCCACCAGCAAACTTGGGTACTCTCTGATATTTTATTTGATTTTATTTTTTTAGGGGGGGATTTGGGATGGCCTTTTTTCTGCAGTTCAGTCAATGGGAGCTATTGTGCGCCCGTGTCACCCTGTGTTAATTTGAGCTCTAATGTATTTGATAAACAAAGGGGCGCTCTTTAGCCTGACAGTCGTGACACCCTGATTCTTGCGTGGGCGCAGGGTTACGCCGTTAATAACCCACTGGCAGCCATCAAAGGCGCTTTAACCATGATCATTATGATAAAGGGCATACACTTAATTACAGGCCTGCTTAATTATAGCTCTGTTGAAGCTCGTTTGTTTGGTAGAATGCTAATTATACCACCGCACTCTTGGCAAGTCCTCTTTCAATCCACCTCTCTCTTTCTTCCTCACTCTCGCTTTCTCTCGGCGAGCCCAACACTCAGGCTCATTTTCATGCAAATTGATATCCGCCGAATGTTTTGTCTCTCTCTTTCCCCTTTTTCTTTCGACGTGTGCGAGTGGGGCTTTGTTTTTGGAGTCGAACGTCTCCCTGACAAGACAGGATCAGGAATAATCAAGAGTAATTAACAGGAAAAGAGGGAGGAGAGCGTACGGGGGGGCCTTCAGATACAGTGCCGGAGAAAAAAAAATAAAAAGGCTTTCATCTCGCTTTGTCTGAGGGGATTGCAGGAACTTTCCGTCTTCTGCTATTTTCGGCTATTAGACAATTTGTTTTCAGAGCATAGCCGAAATCGAAGGCAATTGTTTGCTGTTCATGTTTTATCATTTTTATCATCATTTGTTTTTGCTCTGATTTTTATTGTTACTTTATATTGCGATTAATTAGCCATGTTATTGGTCAGTAGTATAGTTTAATTGTTGTCAGAGAGGCAGAGAGGTTTCTTGACAGTTTCTGCTCTCTGATTCTACACTCTTTTGTTTCTGTCTGATCAAATATGTCATCTCAAATGTTTCATGTCCATTTATTTATGCTTTTGGAGTGATCATTTTCAGTTAGTCAGTCATTTATAAAGACAAACCTGTTCAAGACGATGGCCACTTCAGCATCACTTATGTTTGTTTTGTTTTTTCAGCTATGGATGATATTCCTTTTATGGTCTCCCAAAGGCCTGCCTCCCAGAGCAAATATGATGTAAGTGTTTAAAAAAATAAATATGTGATGTAAGTATTTTTAAAAGTGCCTTTCATATAATATAATATAATATAATATAATATAATATAATATAATATAATATAATATATTATAATATAATATAATATAATAGTAATATATAGTATATAATAGTATTATTATTTGCTCATTCACTTATTCATGTCTTGCTCCATATTATTAACCCTTGTGCACTGTTCAAATTTCAATGGAAGTCAATGGGGCAAAAACAGCCACCAACAGTAAATTAGGGAGCAAAAAAAAAATTAAAATGAATAAACAATGCATTGAAGGCAATGTTGCTTCACATGTCTTTGATAAAAGGTAAAAAAAGCCAGTCCACGATTACTTTTTATATTAAAAATACGTTATTTTGTATGTTTTTTCACCAAATCAGTGACATCATTTATAAATTTGGCAATTCAAGAGTTACAATCTTGTAATTTTCAAAAAAATTTGTAGTTTTGATCAGGACTGAAGTTGATTAACAGATTTATGCAAAAAAAGTTTAAAAAATATTTATTTGATGCATTTTTACAGCAGTTTAATTTAGTGGATGTTTTCATATCAAACATAACAAAAGGTTTTTTTAAATAAACAGTCTTAAAATGTAAACAAATTATAAAAAAAAACATCCCATAATGTAAATAAGTTGTCAGATACAACTAATTTATCAATACACCCCAGAGTGGATGTAAACATCTTCAGCAGCACATAAGAGTTAAAGATACTAACGGTACTTAATACACTTTAAACTTTACAACTCGGAAAAAAAAATTATATATATATATATATATATATATATATATATATATATATATATATATATATATATATATATATATATATATATATACACGGTAATTTGAAAAGAGTTTTGAACTCAGTGTAAATACCTCATTGCAAAGATAAAATAAATTTGTTATTAGAAATGAGTTATTAAAATTGGGGGAAAAATAAACAGGAAGGGGGGGGGGGGGGGCTAATAACTCTGACATCAACGGAATATACTGTACAACCCCAAAAGTTATATATGTTAATCATTGACATTTGGTCATTCAATGTCATATCTAAATATTTAATTATTATTATTATTATTATTATTATTATTATTATTATTATTATTATTATTACTATTATTATTATTATTATTATTATATTTTTTATTAAACTCAGTATCATTTGTATTATAAGTTAAAATATTATATTATATTATATTATATTATATTATATTATATTATATTATATTATATTATATTATATTATATTATATCATGTTATATTATATTATATTATTTATAATATAATTATATTATATTATTTTATATCATGTTATATTATAGTATGTTATATTATATTATATTATATTATATTATAATATTATATTATATTATATTATATTATATTATATTATATTATATTATATTATATTATATTATATTATATTATATTATATTATATTATATTAGTTTAAAATGTTTTTGTTGAGGTGCTGCTGGCTGCAGTCGGAGCTGCTCTGCTGTAATGAATGTGTGCTGATGATGTTCACAGTCAGGCTCATGGAGGGCCATTTGGCCTCTGTCACAAGAGCTCTGTTTCTATTGTCAGAGAGAGAATGAGAACGAGAGGATTAAAGATCTTCAACATGCTTATTTAACCATGAACCGCTCTCATGACTCCTCTGTCTGGTTTCATATCTCATCTTTTCTTCTTCTTCTTTTAACAGATAGAACCACTTCCCATCTTGAATATTTCCATCAAATCACCACAGGAGATTGAGGAGGAAGTAAGTTTATACATCTACAGGTAGTACTGTTATATAGGTTTGTGTTGTTGTTGTTTTTTTTTTTTTGTTTTTTTTTTGTAATTCATTACATCATGTCGAAGTGGTGCTATTTGTGGTGCTAGTTTATTTATTTAGATGTGTAAATGTATTATTTATTTAGTTAGTTTTGGAAATGTATTATTTATTTATTTATTTATTTATTTATTTATTTAGTTGGTTGGTTGGTTGGTTGGTTGGTTGGTTGGTTGGTTGGTTGGTAGGTTGGTTGGTTGGTTGGTTGGTTGGTTGGTTGGTTGGTTGGTTGGTTAGTTAGTTAGTTAGTTAGTTAGTTAGTTAGTTAGTTAGTTAGTTAGTTAGTTAGTTAGTTAGTTAGTTAGTTAGTTAGTTAGTTAGTTAGTTAGTTAGTTGTGTAAATGTAATATTTATTTATTTATTTGTGTAAATGTATTTTTATTTGATTTTTTTATTTTGCTATTTATTTATTTAGTTGTGTAAATGTAATATTTATTTATTTAGCTGTGTAAATGTATTAATTATTTAATTATTTATTTAATTAATTTTTTGTGTAAATGTATTTTTTATTTTTTTAGCTATTTATTTATTTAGTTGTGTAAATGTAATATTTATTTATTTAGCAGTGTAAATCTATTAATTATTTAATTATTTATTTAATTAATTATTTGTATAAATGTATTTTAAATTTTTTTAGCTATTTATTTATTTAGTTGTGTAAATGTAATATGTATTTATTTAGCTGTGTAAATGTGTTATTTATTTATTTAATTGTTTGTATATATGTATTTTTTTAATTAGCTATTTATTTATTTAGTTGTGTAAATGTAATATTTATTTATTTAGTTGTGGAAATATATTATTTATTTATTTAAATTTTGTGTAAATGTATTTTTTAATTTAGCTATTTATTTATTTAGTTGTGTGAATGCAATATTTATTAATTTAGTTGTGTAAATGTGTTATTTATTTATTTAGTTGTGTAAATGTGTTATTTATTTATTTAGTTAGTTTTGCAAATATATTATTTATTTAGTTAGTTAGTTAGTTAGTTAGTTGTGTGAATGTATTATTTATTTTTTTAGTTCAACTCAGCAAAGTGAAGCAGTGCAAATCAGTTTACAGTCTGTAATTTCAGTTAAAAATAAACTTGCGAACAATATACAAAGCCAATAATGACATTTATCACATATAGAATATCTGTAATGAATAATCTGAAAGCTGTAGTTTCGTCTTTGTTTAGCTGTATATATTTACTGAGAGTTTGACCCTCCTCCTTTCGTCTCGTCTCCTTCAGTGTGTGATGAGAAGCAGCAGAGCAGTGTGAAGGAGGGGGATTCATTAATTACAGGCTAACGCCGCTGAACGCGCAGATGAAGTAAAGCACAGATAGTGTAAGAGTGCTGGGTTTAGTGAGGTGGGCGACAGCACAAGATTAATGGAGAAGCTGCCCTGATAATGAGAATCAGTGTGAGAGCATCCACTGCTATTGTTCTGCAGCCGCAGCCACGACCTGAACGCAGATCCACTGACACACGGTCAAAAACACACCACGGGACTGTCCTGCTCCAGATCACTCACTGCTGCTAAATTAACCACTGACCTGAACAAAAAAAAATCATTTCTGCTAAAATAAAAGCTTTTTAAATTTTTTATTAAATCATTTTAAGGTCAATATTATTAGAACCCCCCATACCCCCACCTATATATATATATATATATATATATATATATATATATATATATACATATATAATATTATGCTTCTCTTGATTTTTCCAATTTACTTAAAAGTTTATATATATTTTTTCCCCAAGATTTTAATTTGGATGTACTAAATTGTGGACTCTGGTCTTATGTTTTATTGTTAGACTAGTTCCAGATTTGGCTTTAGTGCTTACTAATGTATATGCACAAATATATTATAGCATTCTATTGAAAATATTAATTACATTTTATTGTGTTCTTACATTTCCCAGAGATGGGTACAGTTCATTCCGCTGTTTCGACCCCAGATTAATAAAGGGTCTAAGCCGATAAGAAAATGAATGAATGTGTTCTTACACAATAATGATAATGTATACTGGTAATCTTTAGAGTAAGGTTTAATTTGTTAATGTTATTTACGACATTAAAATGTGCAAATGACAAAACTAACAAGGAATAAATTAGTAACATGTTACACTTGTGCAAATTTACTAGGTTTATTCTATTGTTACTACTACAAAGGCAAATACTAAAAGCACTACAACAATAATAATAATAATAATAATAATAATAATAATAATAATAATAATAATAATAATAATAATAATAATAATAATAATAGTAACAGTAGTAGTAGTAGTACTAGTAATGTTTACATTTTGGATTAATAGAAATAATAATATAAATAGAAATAAATAAAAGCTGTTTGTGTCAATTACTTTATTTATACAAACTAGCATTGATAAAACATTTTTAAAAACAATATTAAGACTAAACAATGTTGAATAATTGCTGTGCAATATGTTGGTCATCCATAGTTCATGTTAGTTAATGCATAAATTAATTTAAACATATGAGATTTTATTTTAAAGTGATACCTACATAGCTATTGTTTGCAGTTTAAATCATATTTTAATATATAATGCAATGTATATATAGTGTGTGTGCGTGCGTGTGTGCGTGTGTGCGTGCATACGTGCGTGTGTGCGTGCATACGTGCGTGTGTGTGTGTGTGCACATACGTACACACACACACACACACACACAAACACACTCACATACATACATAGACACACACCCATAAACGTTTCTGTGTGTGTGTGTTCATGTGTGCGTGCATGTGTTTATGTGTTTTAATACAATAATGTGTATGTAAAAATGCATTGCTTTCTGTTTGAGTCTTTAGCACACTCAAAAAATAATGTCTGTTGTTTGTTCGAACTACTTACTTAACAAACTGTTGAGTTTTTGTTTGAGACAACTTTTTTGTTTGAGACAACTTAATTGTTTTATTTTTAATCAACTTAAATTTGTAAAAACTTATATGTAACTTACTTTCTTCATGTTGTCTCAACACAAACTGATTGTGTAGAACCCAGCCTTTTTTTACAGTGTATAACTATAATAAACTATAATAAAATTTAGGGTTCCACACAATTCATGTTGTCCCAACACAAATCGCTAACTCAGTTGTTCATACAAACTTGAGTGGATTGAACATGAAACATTTAAGTTGTCTCAAAAAATATCAAGAATTGTGTTGTTTTAGCTTATTTTTAATAAGTATTCTAAACAAGCAGCAAAAATATGTTTATTTTTGAGTGTGTTATTAATTTTGTAGTGCTACTTGTAATCATAGATTATCATTGTTATTATACAATAGAACATTGTAGAAGCACGGAAGCTGTAATGTAAAGAGTTACTAATACCTCCGTTTTTAAAATGAGCGTATAATAAATGCTGAATGCATATTTCCAGTAGGAATGGTCCTGTATTCCTTCATTAGTCTCTGGAGGAGAACTTCTCCACTCAAGGCCTTCACGCACATCCTAATTGACTGATTGCTAATTCTATTAAAAACACATTCATTAAAAACAGGCATTTTGTGACATTAAACATATGCACATGTAATTGCGGAAAAGCGTCGTAATCACAATCGGGTTCGTGGAAAAGACTGCTCTCTAACAAGCATCACTTCAGCCATTTCTTTCTTTCTTTCTTTCTTTTTTTTTCCTTTTCATTTTTTTTTTCATGTGGAAGATGTTGGTTCCAGCAATTACGCATTCTTTTCATTTCCCAAATGATTTGCAAAACTCGTCGAGATTATAATTGCTTTTAGCCACGCATATCTAATTTGTGTCTTTTTAAGTGTTAATTAGTTCGTGATTTGAGCTGACGTCTTTATGTAGTTTGCACAGCTGAAAAATGTTATTGAAGGGAGGCTAATGATACGCCGTGTGTGGATGTGCGTGCCTGTGTGTGTGTGCGTACTTTAAAAACTACCTAGAATATATGTTGAAACATTACGCTGCTGGCAAAAACACTTTTCATGTACATGCTAGCTTTGAAATTTAGGGCTTTCTGGCTTTTAATTAATTAATTAATTAAATTTTTTTTTGTAGATTTCAATTACAGTGTATATAAGTTTTTATTCTCTAGGCCATGTATCTTCACCTCAGCAGCATTTATATGCACCAAATTGTTTCCAAACTACCATACTATTCTGGAGGTTTTCAGTATTTTCTGAAATATGGATTGATAAAAAGAAATTTACAAAATCCCCTCTGTAAATAATATTTGATTCTAATATGCCTAGACAGACAGACAGACAGATAGATATAGATAGATAGATAGACAGACAGACAGACAGTTGATGTCAAAATCATTAGCCCCCTTGAATTATAAGCCCACCTGTTTATCCCCCCCCCCAATTTCTGTTGAACTGAGAGATTTTTTCAACACATTTAATTTAATTTAACATTTAATTAAACATAATAGTTTTATTAACTCATTTCTAATAAGTGATTTATTTTATCCTTGCCATGATGACAGTACATTATATTTTACTAGATATTTTTGAAAAACACTACTATACAGCTTAAAGCCATGTTAAAAGGCATAACTTTAATAATAAAGTTAATTAGGTTAACTAGGCAGGTTAACTAGGCAGGTTAGGGTAATTAGGCAAGTTATTGTAAACCGATGATTTGTTCTGCTGACTGGGGGGAAAAATGCTTAAAGGGGCTAATGATTTTGTCCTTAAAATGCTGATTAAAAAAAATTTCATTATTCCAGCCAAAATAAACCAAATAAGACTTTCTCCACAAGAAAAAATATAATCAGACATACTGTAAAAATTTTCTTGCTCTGTTAAACATCATTTGGGAAATATTTAAAAAAGAAAAAAAGAGTCACTGGATGGTACCTTTTCAAAAGGTACACAATTGTACTTGAAGTATCCATATTGATACCTCAGAAGTGTATATTAGTACCTACAAATTTTAAGAGGAACACTTTTGTACATTTTAGGTACCAATAACATTTTAGGTACCATTTTAGGTACATTTTAGGTACCTGTGGGGTATTAATATGGACCTTTTAGGTACAAATTGGTACCTTTTGAAAAGGTACCACCTCAGTGACAGCTCTCGTACCTTTATTTCTGAGAGTATATATCGCTATTCCGTGACTATTGATCCTTGATCTCTTCACTGACAAATTTTGATGTTGAAAATTTTACTTGTGTAATTTAACAAAATGACTTTTATTTTAATTTTACATTTTGAAACAATATATTGAATAAGAAATAATGTATAAAAAATTTGGTCTGTAAAATGATAAATGGTTCTAGCAGTTAATTTCCAAATTTTTGTACCCTAATTTGTTTAAAATCAAAGAAAGTCTTTTTTTACAAACATTTCAGCATGAAAAGTTGCAAATATGTTTATTTAAAGTTAATTAGAACTTTTAATGAAATTATGCATCATTTGCATATTTAAACAAGAGAACATACTATATATAAAACCTTTAAAACTGTTAATGTACACTCTAAAAAAAAACAAAAGCTGTCACTGTGGTGGTACCTTTTTAAAAGCTGCATTTTTGTACCTAAACGGTACACTTTTTTATTTAAAAGTTCCCCAATAATTCCTTAAAGGTACCACAAGGTACACTTTTATTCTTTATATGTACTATTATATACCTTAAAGGCACAAGTGTGGGCCTTTAAGGTACCAAAGTGTATCTTTTGAAAAGGTACCACCCCAGTGACATATTTTGTACCTTTATTTCTGAGAGTGTAAGCAATCAGCTGGGGAACTATTAGCTCAGTTTTTATCAGACCATTCACCTGCAGTGACTGTATCTGTTTGCAGTCTCTGTAACTGTATTTAGTTTAATTTTTTATTAAATATTATAATTAATATTTATTCTTTATTAGATATTACAGTTTATAGGGAATTCAGAGAATATATTTTTTTATCACTTTGTAACCTTTTTAAATAAAATGATTATAAAAATAGATTATTTGTAGAATAAAATGCTGTTCTGTATATCATTAAGCAAATTATGGATTTCTGTATGGATCTCTCTGTAATAACGTTCAGAATATTGAATAAAACTGGTGTCTGGTGTAAGCGCTGCTGAGGTGGAGAATTATGGTTCAAAGAAAGAAAAATAAAAAAATTTGAGAAAAGAAAAGATGTACTTCAATTGAAATGTATAGACACGACTTAATAAATGTGACAACAGAATCACTGTATTTTGGATAATTGTTTACATTAGACTGAATAAGAAAAAAATAAGGCAAAAAGCCCAAAATCTCAAAAACTGTGATTTGCCTGATAAAATATGAACAAAACTTGACATTTTCAACCATGTAAAACCTCTGTGTGTGCGTGTATGTTATGGTCCTGTGAGAGGTAGAAAGAGACGGAGAGGACGCCCAGAGAGCAGACGGCTAGATATATTCAAATGAAGGGGGAATTAATGAAGACAACATGTCACATATTTGGGTCTGCTGTGAGCAGGAACAGGAAATGAAGATCTGCTCATCTGGGCTCGTGTCGCTCATGTCCCGCGTGTCACTGTTCTGTCACGGGCCGGTGTAAAAATGGCAGGCGGTGATACATGCACTCTGTGATAACAGCCCATTCCTTCCCATCCATCATTTGCAGACGTGCACACACAGTCGTACTTGTTTATTTATTACTTAGTCAGGTGCTGCGTGTGACTTTTTATTATAACTAAGCGGCGTGTGACATGTGACATGCTGGTGGAAGTTGCCGTTTTGCTTCAGGAGGATGGAGAGAGAGAGAGAGAGAGAGAGAGAGAGAGAGAAGAAATGCAAAGCAGTGTTGTGTGATCCTCCAGCATCACCTAGTGCTGTAAATCTGAATTACATTTTACAGGTATTTAGGAAAGAGATGCTATGATAGAAGCAAAGTTATTAGAAAAATAAAAACGAAATCATTGCTTTTACTTACATGTTAATTGAATTATTGTTATTATTTTTGTTATTATTATTATTATTATTATTATTATTATATTTTTATTTTTTATTACTACTATTATTATTATTATTAATATTGTTATTTGTATTATTATTATTATTATTATTATTATTAGTTGTAGTAGTAGTAGCAGTAGTAATTAGTAAAATAGTAGTAAACTAGTAATAGTAGTTAGTAATTACAATATTTTTTACTCCCCAAAAAAGTAACTAGTTGCGTTACTAAGTTACTTTTATTGTTAAGTAATGAGTTACGTTACTTTTGAGTTACTTTTGCATAACTTTTTATTACCTGGCTGAGGCTTGATCTCTTAGAGAACTTTTTATTTTTATTTTTTATAGGAGTTCTGCAATTAACAATGCATTGTTAAATCTTCATTTACCTTTAAAAAAACAAATAAAAATATTTTTACATAATGTTATCTGAGCCTAGAGCTATAAATAATGTATATACAGATTATTAAAAGTTTAAAGCAACGTGTTTTTTAAAGCTACTTTTGTACTTGTCTTAAGTAAAATCACTGTCTATTGAGACTATAATCCCCTTTTTCTTTGCTTCAATACGTTAAAAATGTTGAGCACATTTTCTTATTAACTGCATGATTCATGGTGACTACTTTAATTTTAATTCTGAAATGTATTTTTTAAAAGCTAATTAATTAAACTGAAACGTAACTCGCATTACATTTTCAAAAAAGTAATTCAAATATTATGACTTATTTTTTTTAAAGTAATGCATTACTTTAATCCTTTCTTAGAAAAGTAATTACTCACATTAAAAGTAGTAGTAGTTGTATGTAGTTTAAAAAAGTATCCTAACCTTACTTTTAATTTGGGTGGATTTGCATTGATGGATTTGCGATGGTGAAGCTGCTTTGACACAATCTATATTGTAAAAGCACTAAAATAAAGATGAATTTAATTTAATTTAATCATTCCACTGTGGCAACCACTAATAAAGTAAGGAGCATGCTTATACTGAGTTAGTGTTTCTTTCTTTATTTTTTTTTACTTGTTTTATTTTATTTTATCCTATTTTATTCATTCATTATTTATTTAGTTATTCATGTTAAGTAAATGTTATTTATAAAGCGAACTTACCTTTAGCCTAATAAAAAAGTAATAATAAAACCCAATGTTAAATAATTGATAATTATAAATAATCGATTGCAACAAACCATTTAAGTTCAAAAACTAATCCTAAGGAGGGCTGTGAACTTAATCCATTTGAGTAAATGAAGCAATTTGAGTATTGTAAAACCCAATAGGTTAAGTCAACTCAAACCAATTTAGGAAACTGATTGCTACAAACCATTTGAGTTAAAAAAATAAATAAACACATCTATATGAGTTCAAAAAACCTACTCCATTTAGGTTAAAGTAATGAGGTATTTAATTAACTCATTACCTTCAACACTGAGTTTAAAACTCTTTTCAAATGAGTAGACTTTCTGTAAATTTTGAGTTAACTACTCATTTCATTTGATAAAGTTAACTGTTGCATTTTACAGTGTATAGTTACTATGAATTAGGTTTGGAGAGCTTAATAATAATAATAATAATAATAATAATAATAATAATAATAATAAGATGTAAAATGTGTAATTATGCAATGAAATTAATTCTGTGTGCTCCTATTTTAGCCATAGAAACAGCAGACATAAACTGTTTTGTTTCTGTGTAATTTTATATCCTTGTTCACAGTGTTATTCAGAATATAAATGGATAACTGGAGTAAATTGTTCTTTTTATTTGTTTGCCTGTATGTCAGTCTGTCTGTGTTTTTTTTTTATTTATTTTTTTTATCTTATTTAGTCTTAAGGTTATATCAAGGCCTGGGTTAGAAATATGGCCTCTAAATATAATAGAAATTCGGAAGTCTAAATGTAATAAATGAATTAAAATATAACAAAAACAAAAATGTAAACGTATAAATGATATTTGCCTTCTCAATGCAGTGGTTGTGCATTTGCTCACATACACAAGGAGGCGCTGTTTAGCAGCAATTACCAGACAGCGAAATACATAAAGTTCACCTAAAATATAATTGTACCCACCATTTACAGACCTTCAAATGGTTCCAAAAGTTTTTTTGTTTTTGTTTAGTTGAAAGCAAAAAAAAATGTTTTTTTCAGAATAGTTATTTGTATCTAAAAGGTGAGTAAATAATTGCAAAATTTCCTGTTTTGGGTAACTATCCCTTTAATTGTAGAAAAAGGGAAGGAATGCAATGTTGATGTTGTTGTTGTTGGTGGTGGTGGTGGTGGTGGTGGTGGTGGTGGTGGTGTTGTTGAACGGCAGAAGTCATCTTTTTTTTTTTGTCTGTTTGTTTGTTTTACAGTACAAATATTGTTTCAACACTGAACACAGCGCTGCAGCTTTCACATGGAGCCAGTGACTCGAAGACTTACCATATAACACTAGAGTAAACCAGAGTGCAGTGAGCCCACATTTACATCTACAATAATAGTTATTAAAGCTCTCGTCTACAATAAATATCAATCAGAAGAAAAAGGTTTACACTTGAGCCTTTTTTAAGTATACAGTTTTTGATTCCCCAAAGAAGCATTCGGTGAACATGTCTTTGTTTTTTAGCGTGAAAGTCATTTTAAAAATCCAAAGACATTACTTTCCACTTTAAAGAACAATCTGTGAAATTTAAACATTCCATTGATTTTCAAAAGTTCTTTATCTAACCATCAGCCAAAGTATAAAGTACCTTTATGTATTGGAAATTTGGTTATGGGCACATATTGTATGTGTGCAGTCTGATTATTTTGTGTGTATGTGCAGCTCACAATAGTGCTGTGTGTTTGTTTTGCACTACTTAGTTGGTCCACAAGATGTGCTGCAGGTTAAAAAAACACATGCACAGAGAAAAACACAAACTGAGAAAATATCTTCATCAATTTGACAACACACACACACACACACACACACACACACACACACACACACACACACACACACACACACACACACACACACACATAATTCTCACCGCACATACAAATAATCTTGTAACACTTTAAGCTGTCCAATTTTTTCCAGGTACGTACTAAAGTTATTAATATGTAATTAATTATGCATAATTAGACATAACTAACTCCAAACCTAACTCTCGTTCTAAGACTAACCATAAAGTATATGTAATTAATTAACAGTAGTTAAATTAATTGTTACATTGTAATGTGTCCAAACTGTAACCAGACCTTCTTTCAAATGACAAATGACAATTTTATTTGGACAAAATCTAGTCCTCTTCTGCTTTTTTATTTGGGCTGTGAATGCTGTTTTCTAATGACTGTAAATGTTATGTTCTCAGAGACTTTCAAGAAGGTTCTTTTCTGTTTTAAAAGGGCTTTGTTGTTGTTGTTTTTGTGGCAGTTTTAATAAGGATATTAATATGATCTGCGCTAAAATTATCCTAATTTAAAACTACTTTATAAGATTTTTTTTTATTTAGTTAAAATCCATTTTATTATTATTATTATTATTATTATTATTATTATTATTATTATTATTATTATTATTATTGTTATTGTTATTGTTATTATTATTTATTTGATTATGGGTGTTGGGACATACTAATATTGACTATAACCAAGAAAGAATAATCCAACAAACAAATAAATAATTAACATTGTTAATTAAGGAAGACATAATATACCAACATTATAGCTTTTATGAAGCATTAAGCACTCTCATTTCGTTTATTTCATTCATACTCATCAACAGAGGGCCACACAGAATAAATATATGCACAGCAAGTGTTTTTCAGTCAACAATAAACTTCCGGTGAAAGCTACAGTAAATGTAAATATTTTCAATTTCATATGGTTTCTAGTATACCTAGAAAGAGCTTGATTAGCTGGTTCAGATGTGTTTACTTGGGGTTGGAACTAAAATATGCAGGACACCGGCCCTCCAGGACTGAGTTTGGACACCACTGATATAGACAAATAAGACAAATAGTTATTGCTGTAGCTGCATAAATGCTGCCAGAAATGTTTTGACTAATGGAACATGAAGAGACTCAATGCACAACTTTCAGCCATCTCAGGTATTTTAATAAACATGATGTATATTTATGAATCAGTGCTAATTGATAAAGCTTTTAGATTAGAATACCAGTAAAATTTATAATTCATAACAACATTTAAAATGTTGTTAGAATTTTGACTAAACTGAAGTAGATTTGTGTTATTCTCATAAATTGTCATGATTGTGCAGAGCTGGAAAAATCTTACAATGTGCTAAACTTGAAAGTGTGCACATGTTAGTCTTCTCTGTTACGTGTAATTATGCTTGTTTGCTTTCATGTGATTCATTGCCCTAAAAATAAAATTTAAATTAAAAAAATGCTTTTTGTATTTTATTTTATTTTATTTTATTTTATTTTATTTTATTTTAGTATTCTGCATTAAGGTTTTATTTGTTACCCTTATGTAACTACATTATTTAACATAATCTGACACAAATTACTAGTAAACCATTAAATAATCTCATTTAATGCTGATTTTACCATTTGGTAATAAATTATTTAAATTAAGATTTATAACCTACAAAAACATTAAAAAAAACTAAGAAATACTGTAACAAATACATTCATCGGCCACTTTATCAGGTACACCTGTCCAACTGCTCGTTAATGCAAATTTCTAATCAGCAAATCACATGGCAGCAACTCAATGAATTTAGGCATGTAGACATGGTCAAGACGATTTGCTGCAGTTCAAACCGAGCATCAGAATGGGGAAGAAATGTGGCATGGTTGTTGGTGCCAGACTGGTCTGCGTATTTCAGAAACTGCTGATCTTCTGGGATTTTCACGCACAAAAATCTTAGGGTCTCAAAAATGAGGGTTTACAGAGAATGTTCTGAAAAAGAATGCTTTGCTGATGTCAGAAGTCAGAGGAGAATGGCCAGACTGGTTTGAGCTGATAGAAACACAACAGTAACTCAAATAACCATTTGTTACATCCGAGGTCTGCAGTAGAACATCTCTCGCTCAACATGTTGAACCTTGAACCGGATGGGCTACAGCAGCAGAAGATTAACACCAGGTGCCACTCCTGTCAGCTAAAAACAGGAAACTGAGGCTAAATTCACTCAGGCTCAGTGAATTGTTGTAGGACAGTAATTTATTGGCCCAAAAATGGACAATAGAAGATTGGAAAAACATTGTCTGGTCTGATGAGTTTTGATTACTGCTGTGACATTCAGATGGTAGGGTTGGAATTTGGCGTCAACAACATGAAAGCATGGATCCATCCTGCCTTGTATCAACGATTCAGTCTGGTGGTGGTGGTGTAATAAATTGGGGGATATTTTCTTGGCACACTTTGGGCTTATTACTTCCAATTGAGCATCGTGTCAACACCACAGCAAACCTGAGTGTTGTTGCTGACTATGTCCATCTCCTTACGACAACATTGTACTGCTACTGTACTTCTAGCAGAATAAAGCACCATGTCATAAACCGTGAATCATTTCAGACTGGTTTCTTAAACATGACAATGAGTTCACTGTACTCAAATGGCCTCCACAGTCACCAGTGTTAATCTAATAGAGCACCTTTGAGATGTGGTTAACAAGAGATTCTCTTGATGGATGTGCAGCCGACAAATGTTTGATGCTATCATGTCAAAATGGACCAAAATCTCTGAGGAATATTTCCAGTACCTTGTTGAATGAAGTGTTACTGACATTCCTACTGATACTAAGAATTGTTGACATAATTGAATCATTTTGATAATCATGTAGTAAAAAATCTAATATTGTGAGAGCCTAGATTTAACTGTACTTCGATTTTACATGTATTAACAGTTTTTTTTTTTGCCATTTTAAGCATCATTGTTTAATTATTTGAGAGCAAATAGCACATTTATTGTATTAAAATTAAGTTATTGCACATACATTTGTCAAATCTTGAGAATTTATTTATTTTATTTCTCTGTTTATTTTAGTAAATGCTAAACCCAGTCTTATGAGTTTAATCATAATATTTTTTCCACCTCATTAAGAGTAGCTTGATGTTCACTTTATGCTTATTTTTTTATTTTAAAAATCTACATTTATATGCAACAAGTAGCATGATGTCTCTTGGCATAACATTACAGCCCATCAACCTCTCAATCCCAGAGAGCCTCTCCTTTCTTTTGAGTTGTACAAAAAATAATGGTGTTTTGCTTCATTCTTTTCTTGTGACCACAGATGCATTTTTGCTTCTCTCTGTTCATGTCAGTCTTGCTGTTTCCCCCAGACAGTGTGTGGGTGTCGGAGTCGCTGGTGTGTTGATGATTTCAGAAACACACACTGAGCACAGGTTCTGTTTCACTGGCCCGTGCAGACATCATGAGCCTCTCAGAGACAGGACTATCTCACGCCTGTCCTTCACATCAACTCTATTTACACTCCTCTGAGCAGGTAGAACAGTTAGTTTCCCAGTTCACTTTTCCTCTAACCATGGTACGTCAAGTAAACACAAGTAACTAGATCTAGAGCAGGGGTTTTCAGCCATGAAAAGCATAAATGTATTGTGTTTTTCATCTCTGAGATTTAATATACATATTTTAGTATAATACCATTTTATATAATTTTAGTATAATATTAGCATACAACATTAATAATGATAACCAATCACATTCATAACACTTAGTAACAACAACAACAAAAACACCCTTGAATGTGATTTTTTTCTTTAATTAATGTCCTAAATATTATATATATTTTTTATATTTACATTTAGAAGATTACCTTCAATGTTATCTTCTGCTCACTTGTTTTTAATTTATTTAAGTTTATTGTTAAATATATGAAAACAAAAACATTTAAATGTACTTGCTAAATCAGTTTTCATACTGCACTGTAATGTTGATTTGTTTTTTGGTCTTTATTTGAACATTATGTTCTGTTTTGTTTGGTTTTTAATCATGTATTTTCATCATTGCTTATTATAATCTCCTGTGTCTTGTTTGGTTTCTTTATTTGTTTCTAGGCAGTACCTAGTTTGTTTTTTGAACATGTCAGATTGTCGTCTTCCTTGTTCATTGCCCAGTTATGGGAAAGATTTTGATGTTTGGATATTCTTTTATCTACATATGATTATAGTGAATATGATGTTCTGAAGTTTGCTTCGTAGTCATGTGCCATTTACACTAGCGTGTTTTTGTTTTAAGAATGGAAATCTTCCTCGTCCAGACTTGCACTTTTTGCACTTCTAAAAATGCCCTCATTATCAAACCCAAAACACAAGATACACTGAAAAAAATGATGTCTGCAAAGTTGTTGCAAACAATTTATATGGGTTGAATTTAAACCAATTAAATTAAGTAATGTTCAACTTAATTTGTTTGATTAAATTCAGCCCAAATAAATTGTTTACATCTACTTAAATTAATAACATGTAGTAAATCCAAGGAATCATCTTTGAATACATTTTTTTCAGTATGACTATTCACGCTCAATTGCATACACATATTTTGTTGGTATTTGCACTTGCAATCTAAAGGTTGGCTAATGGTCATGTGATTAGAACTTGACGAATCAGGAAAAGATATGCAATAGTCCAAAAGAACAGTCAGAGTGCGATTGTGGATAGTTGTGCCTCCATTTTCAAAAGTTTGTGCTCCTGTCTATCTAATCTGAAACAAAATATCAGCATTTTCAATCTAAAATAGGGCCTCTAATCGACGTTATTCACTCTGTTTCTGAGTAGTAGTACTTTGGGTCTGTCACAATATCATTTTTTTTGTTGTACGATATATTGCACCAAAAATGTATTGATATTATATAGCGATAAATTATATTATTGTCTTTCTCAGTACTGGGTTGCAGCTGGAAGGGCATCAACACTATACATACTATAAATATAAACATAAGATGGATAAGTTGGCGGTTTATTCCGCTGTGGCGACCCCTGATAAATAAATGGACTAAACCGAAGGAAAATTAATGAATGAATGAATCTTATTATTGTCATTTTAAGACTCAATTTATAATGCAAGAAAGACAATATAATATCATCAAAAATAATATGTTATTCTTAAGAATATTTAATTTATTACATTCATTATAATAATTTAATAATAAGGCATTGGAATCAAGATGTGAAAACATATCCTAAATAAATAATAAAAAATGTTAACAAAAAAGTAACAAAGGCTGCAATATCTGCTCATTTATTTTCAGCTGTCAAACACCCACATTAAAATATATATTAAAGTAATTTATAGTAAATACTAAAGTGCAGGGGTGTCCAAACTTGGTGCTGGAGGGCTGTGTCCTGCAAAGTTTAGTTCCAACCCCAATCAGACACACCTGGGCTAGCTAATCAAGCTCTTACTAGGCTTTCTAGAAACATTTGTGCAGGTGTGTTGAGGTTGGTTGGAGCTAATAGTTTTTCAAGTTTGAAAAAAAGAAAGTTTGGACACATAGTGTTTTTAACCATACTGACACCTTCAACAG